TGTGTGTGTGTGTGTTTTAAACGGCTCTATCGATCAACTTCAAAAACTAATCCGCCCTTAAGCTTGAAAAGCCACGCCGATCGTCGCTAATCCGGTCAAAATCGGTTGATTCATTCGAGAGATATCGTGAACGAAAGAAAACCAAAAAAAGTGTTTTTTGGACATAACTTCGTCATTTCTTCTCGGGTCGTTTTTGATGATATAGAATAATTTCAGAGCTTAAAAAACCGCGTCGATCTCCGCGAAAAACGTGGAAATCGGTTGATTAGTTTGAAAGATATCCTCGATAAAATATTTGGAAACGATTGTTTTTTTAACAGAACTCCGACATTTTTTGGAATAATTTTGAAACGGCTGCACTGATCGATTTCAAAAACTAATCAGCTATTAGCATGAAAAAATTACGTCGATCGCCGTCAAGCCGGTCAAAATTGGTCAATTCGTTCACGAAATATCATGAACGAAAGAAAACGAAAAAAAGTGTTTCTTTTGGAATTACTCCAAATTTCCTAGTTTTATCAATTCAAACTTAAAGATTCTTCATGAAACTAAAAAAATTGCGTCAAATACTGCCAACCGCGTGAAAATCGAGTGATTCATTTAAAAGTTAGTGCGGTTTGAAAATTTAAAAAATATTGTTCTATGATACTTCTATCAGACTTTTGAGCTTGAAGAGCTTAAAAACCCCATTAGTGCAGTTTTATGCACCTAGGTATGGAATTAGCGAGAAGTTGCACGGATGGCCTTTAGGGTCTACCGTTTTTCTAATTTTTTTGTCATGGGGGTATTTCCATAATTATTAAAAACAATCTTATAAATTCAAGGAACACTTCCTAATATTATGGGTATCATTCCCATAATCATATTAATCGCTCCTATTGTCAGTATAAAAAATAATCCCATAAATCTACAATAATAATATCTATATATTCCTTTCCGTACATATTTACATTTTTAATTATAAAATTTTGAATTTTAGTTCTCTTATCACCGCCAGGTGGCTACACTTCTCGCTCTTAGAAACTTCTAACCAAAGTATATATAAACCCTAACCTTTCTTCTATTATTACAGACTTATTTCGTGCCTTATTCCCATAAAATCACTTCAGAATTCTCCCCGACAATTTGAAATTTAATAATAATTTCTTATCGAAGTTTGAGCCTCGGATCGTAAAAATAATGTAATAGGAAAAAGGCAGAGCTCTAGAATAAAAAAGTAGAGCTGACATGTTAACTGGCAACAAGAAGTAGACTTTATTGGCCCGTAAACGCAGTAATCTCCTCTTGTAGCTGATTCCAAGAGTGGAATACATACGATACAGAACAGAAATCGTTTTTTCATTTACCAATTCGTTATCTCTGTTTCTCCTCAATAATACACTGATACTATATATATATATATATATATATATATATATATATATATGAGTTGTTCTAAATGTACTGCGCATTGGCCTGATGGGTTCTAAATGTTCCGATAGTGGAACTTAATTACTAAACCGACTGGTTTATATTCAATACTGTTCATTTTGACCTTTGGTTGTACTTGTTCCATAAAATAAACAATAATTAAGTTATTTTTGAAAAAAACGCACTGCGCTTGCACCTAACTTGTTCCAAATGTTCAACTAGTGGAACTTACCGAATAAAATGACTGATTTGCATCTAAAATAATTAATGCGTTGTCTATTATCCGTAAAAAAGCTTACCTTTGAGTTTTCAACGTACATATCATGAAGATAATGATAAACTGAGACGAAAAAAGAATTCATTATTCTAAGAACTATCGACCCATCAATTTTCTTTTCTTCTGGGTCCCAGATTAGTTTTACAATGTCAATATATCTTTCTTCATGGTATTCCAATTCTATAAAAATGTCGTTTCCACTCCGGCTAAATAAAATAAAGCCTATTTAATATAAATAATAAAAAAGGCCATATATACATATATAAACTCTTGAACGAACTACATTTTTTGACTCAGCTCGACAAACTGAGTCAGAAAATGGCTAAATTTTGTAAAAGTTGCGCCATGAGAACGGCTGCAATAGTTAGATTTTTATAAAATCTACTAATAATCATAAGAATTACATTATTTACTTACAAATTACGTCTCACATTTATTCGATCCTGATTTTGACGGCATATCGCCTCTAAAATTCCAGACAGTGGTCGGTAAACTTTGTCATCAACGTCCCATATTGAGATACAAGTATGACTTTGCGCCGGTGAAAATTTATGATAATATTGCGTAATTACAAAAAATTTACGTTGTTGCGGATTGTTAAATGATTGAGGCCGCCAAATTTTTATTTGTATTATTTTTTTCGCTTTGACATTTAAGCCTGGAAGGGTAACAGGACCCGCGACTAAATCCAAGGTATTTTCATCGATAATGCATAATTCATTAGCTATTGAATGACATGCTAGATAGTTCCCTTTAAATTTTAGTTGATTATTATTAGTGTGAATTTTTAGAAAATTTTTGAAAAGTAAACCAGTCAAGTATAGAAAATTTTTAAAATCAGTTGAGTAACACAAAGAAGGATTTATTTTGTTGATTGATTGTAAGATGGCGTTGCAAACCGGAGATAATACTACGTCACTTCCCCGCGAAAATTTGAATTTAAAAAATATTTTTCTATTATTCTGTTAATTTTTTAACTTAAAATAAGGTAAGAGCCCCCATTATTGACACTATAAGAGTGACGGTGAACATTTGAATTTTTTAACCATATTCAAATTAATCTGACTAATTTTTTTTTGTATTAGACACTTTTTTTGATTCATCAACTTGTGCATTTTAATTTTTATACCTAAATAGTCGTTAATTAAATGACAAATATATTAATTTGAAATCATCAACTCAAGTGTAGGTATTATTGACAGGGTGAAATGGTATCGGAGCCAACTATTGACACCCATAGATCCTATTATTGACAGGTGTCAACCCTATTATTCAGGTTTAATTGAAATTTAAACTTCGGATATAATTTATTATTTACTAGTAAACAACAATATTTTGCTCAGACAATTCTTTTTTTAGTATAAAATTACGCGAGACAACATGTAAACAAATCCGCTATGTATGTTAACGAGGTTAAGTTTTTTAAAATTGTAGGCTGTCGCTAGTTGAACACATGTTAATTTTTATGTACTTACTATTGACACCCGCTATTTTTAAATCATAATTAAAATTTATCAGCTTAAAACAAAAAATCTAAGATTATTTAGAGTCTAAATAATCTCAAATAATTTTGGATGATAGGCTTATATCAGAATTATATAAAAAATTCGCTATTTAAAATACGCTCTCTCTTAGCGAAATTGTTAAGAAATTTTAAATAAACTAACCGTAGTGGTCTACTCGGAAAAATAAAATTTTTTTGCAGTTAATAATTAATACCAAAGCATAAAATTTTACTTTTTTCTTACTAAAAAATTTCTAAAAATTAATAAAAAGCAATGTTTATTGTGATTTAATCAATAAAATAAAACAACATGTCAATAATAGGAGCCCTGTCAATAATAGGGGTTCTTACCTTATCGTAATTTTACCAAATAATTCTTGGATTGAATTCGATTAGATTAAATACGATATTACTATTGTAAAAAGTAAGAGGTTAAAATTTCCAGTGTTGCCTCTGCATTTTTCCAATAGAAGTATAACAAATTTTACAATAGTTGAATTGGAATGTTTTTCAATTAGTGTGAGTGATGCCCGTGCACAGCGCTAGACTCCGCGTTTATGTAAATGCTGAAGGACGTCAATAGTAGTTTACCTCTTATAGCGTAGAGGGAGAGTCTCTGGCTACCAACTAAGAGTTCTGGGTTCGATTCCCGGATAGGACGAAATTTCCGAATTCTTTTTTTGGTTACTGCAAAGGTACCAATTAGTCCAACCTTCTATCTCTCTCCCTCCCTAAAATTTCTTTTAAAAAAACCGACTGTCAATTTTCACAATAGTTGAATTGTAAAGTTAACTAACACATCTTGTATAATTTGCTTTATAGTATTCGACTTTTTAAGTCTCTTGCTAGTCTTGTTTGTTGGATAAAATTTACAATAGAAGATCGTAAAAATTAATAAATGAGAAGTATATTCCACAGTTACTAAAAATGTGATTTTTACTTGTATACAACCGTGTGTTTTTACAAGGAGAGGGTGGGGATTTCCACCTTTTCTCTCGCCTGTTTTTCCACTACGTTTTTCATACATGTAACTACCACACTTTTTTCTCCTCCCCCCTTTTTTTATTCCCACCCTCTCGGTGAGGTAGATTTCTTTTACCCCACCTCAATGCGTTCGAGGTAGCGGCTGTGGCCGACTTACAAGTACTGTATTCATTTGCCTGTGCCTGCCCATTTAAGCTTTAGCACAGTGACCAAGGAAAACCACAGAAAACCTGGTCAGTACAGTTCGGCTACTAGAGCGACCCTCAGCGGTTGTTATTGCAATCAATTTTCTAACAACCGCTGGGGCTCGAACCCGCGCCTACCGGCACGATACCCGTACAGACTAACGCATTAGTCCGCACGGCTATCGCG